TATTATATTAATATTTTAAAGGTGCTGAATCTTTAGAAAGAGCTTGCCATCTTATAATAACAACGTTAATTGAAAATAATAAAGACATTCCTTTTGCATTGATTTATCTCGTTGATAATAAAAAATTAAGAAATAGTTTTCAACCTCATATTGCTCGTTTAGTAGCCACAACTTTTAATAATAAAATACCAGATAATTTACTTGAAACTCCCGAAACAATTGATTTAAGTAAGAATTCTGATGAAAGTTATGATACATATGTAGAAATAAAACGGGCAATGACAATTCATTCATTTTTAAAATGTAAATCTTGGCCACTTCATCTTGTGGTTAAAGAAAATAAATGTGTAAAAGTTCTTTTAAAAGATGAATCTCAAGCCGTTCTATTTCCTGTTAAAATCTCATTTGGTGGTGATCAAATTTTATCGGCTATATTTATTTGTGGTATTAATCCATGTCGTTCACTTGATGAAAATTATCTGAAATTTTTACATGTAAGTTTCTCAAGTTTATTAGATTCATCTAATATTATATGAAATTATATTTATATAAAAATGCTTATCAAATCGTTTAGCTGGTTGAAGATAAAGTTAGTTCTGCATTAATAAATGGTAAATTAAGGGAAGAGGAAAAAAGAAAGACAGAAATGTTGGTTGACTTAGATCGTCAAAAAGTCATGTTTTTCCAAAATATTAGTCACGAATTTCTCAGTATTTATCAATTTTAATAATCTTATTATTTTGACTTTTGTGTGAAAGTATATCGATATAATTTAATTACTGATTATATTTCTGAATAATTTTATAGCACCATTAACATTAATGCTTTCACCGCTTGAGGAGGCAATTAATTCTTATATGCAAGAGACAGTTATACATTCACATCTACAAATTGTTCAACGTAATACACGTCGATTACTCAAACTTGTTAATAATTTGCTTCAGGTAAGTAAATTAAAATTATTATGTACTATATATATATATATATGTCGATACGTATTAAAAGTTCCGTTTATTTTTATAGTTTTCGAGTGTTGAAACTGGTCGACTAGAAGCAAGTTATTGTGAAACTGATATAGCAAGACTTGTTCAAGAATTAGCTGCTGATTTTAATAATGTGGCTAAAAAATTAGGGTTAGATTATATTATAGATGTTCCAAATCCAGATGAATTTAACCATACTTTAAAAGATAAAGTTTACGTAGATCATGACATGTTTGAAACAATTTTTTATAATCTTTGTAAGCATCTATATTTACATGAAAAGAATGGAATTTGTTATATTAATGTACTAATATTTTTAAAGGTTCAAATGCATTTAAGCATACTTGGAGTGGTCAAATCCGTGTTCGTTTATATATTGAACAGAATATTAAAAAAAATATGATAATTCTTGAAGTATCGGATACAGGTTAGATGTACTTTTTTTAAATTTTTTATTTTTACTGCATACTTACTATTTTATAGCATACTTACTTTTTATCATTTTTAATTTAGGAATTGGCATTGCTGAAACAGATATTCCAAACCTATTTCAACGTTTTTATCGCATAGAATCTCAAAAATCACGTAGTCATGAAGGTACTGGAATCGGTCTCGCTCTTATAAAAGAACTTGTTTCTTTTCATGGTGGTGAAATTATTGTAACATCAAAAATAGGTCAAGGAACAACATTTAAATGTCAATTTCCAACAGGATATGAACATTTGCCAAAAAATCAAGTTCAATTTAATGTTAACATTAACGTTGATAGGGAATTAAATAAAAATCAACAGTTGTACACAAAAAAACAATTATATTTAGAAGAAAATTTACAATGGGCTCAAGGAAATGAATCCAAAACGCACATCGATATAAATTTGGATGAAATATCTGTAAATGAAAATATACCTCTTGAAAATATCAGATATAGTGTTTTGATTGTTGAAGATAATATTGATATGAGGTAAATTTTTATTTATCAAATAATTATGATTTTAGAATAAAATTTTTTACTATAATTATCTTTTTTATTTTTATAGAAATTATCTGAAAGAATTATTGAAAAAAGAATTTGATATTTATTGTGCTTGTGATGGCAGTGATGCCTTGAGTCATTTATCTCAATCACATCAACTACCGGATTTAATTCTTAGCGGTAAAAAAAATCCATTGATTTATGTTTAATTGTGCATTATAACATTACTGTTATTAATAAATACTAATCATTAATTGAAATTTTTAGATGTCATGATGCCAAATATGAATGGATATGAATTATTAAATACGTTAAGATCTAATACAACTACAAAATTAATTCCATTAATATTATTGACCGCAAAAGCTGATGAAATTTTTGGTATGAATTAATTTCAATTAAATTATTATGTTTTTTAAAAAAAAAAAATTTAAAAAGAAAAATTAAAATTTAAAAGTACCTGGTTTAGGATTTGAATATGGAGCGAATGATTATTTAGTAAAACCATTTAATTCTCAAGTATTAATTGCTCGTATAAGAACTAATATTAAACTTTCAAGACTTCGTCATCAATTAATATCTCAACAATGTAAACAAGAAAAAATCAAACAATTATTACTTTCCATTTCAAGTGATATTATTCTCGGATTAGATTTAAAAGAAACATTTTCGAGAACTGTTGAAAATATTCATCAAATATTGCCATGTGATAGAATATTTGTAACTACAAATGAATTCTCAGAGCTTAGTACAATAATTGCTTTATCTGAAGATTCAAATTTGACAAGGTACGTATAATTGTGCTTTTATATTAATTTAGCACAGTCACTAAGATATTAATCATACTAAATTACCAACAAATTAAAAGTGAAAATCTTTTAGGGAGCTATGCGACGATCAAAGAGTTAAAAAATAATACCAAAGATCCAATTATACAGGAATCAAATATTAATCAACAAAGATTATCCGATTATGATTTCACTAAAGATTTTAAAGTAGAAGTTTCACTTAATACAAATAGTATTGATGTTGGAAAACAAGTATCTATGTTATCAGTAAATATAAGAACTTATGATGGAAGTTTAGTTTGGTTAAAGGCACATAGATCACCAAATTCTAACTGGCATGATTCAGAAATAGAATTATTTCAACAAATATCGAATCAAATCAATTTAGCTACTGCTTATACAATATTATTAGAAGAAAAACTTATAAAAGAAGCACGAATAGAATCCATTAAAACTGCTAATTATCTTAAAAGCCTAATATTAGCAAATGTTTCTCATGGTATGAAATTAAATCATTATATTATATTCCATCATGTTTTTATTAATTTTAATTATAATCATTATTAATTCTACTATATGATTGTTATTAATTTCTATATATTTAGAATTACGAACGCCATTAGGAGCTATTATTGGCACTTCTTCATTTCTTAAATATGAAAAGTTAAATGATCAACAAAAAGATATGCTTGATATCATATCTAATACTTCTGATAAAGTATTATCTATAGTTAATAATATTCTTAATGCAGCAGAATTAAAAGATAATGAAATTACTTTAGTGAATAAAGCATTTGATTTATTGGATTTATTAGAAAATATAATTGAAATATTTGGAGAAAGATGTGGTAATAAACAAATTGAATTAATTTTAAGTTATGATATAAATTCATTACCAAGATTTGTTAAGAGTGATCCTGAAAGGTAAATATTATATGTATTATAAATATACTGTATTTACGGTATATTTTTTAAAAAAGAATATATAAATTAATTATTAAATATTTGAATATTAAATTTTTATTTTTTATAGGCTAAAACAAATATTAATAAATTTATTATCAAACTCGTAAGCACATTTTATTTTCTTAAAATTAAACTGATATAACTTACTAATCATTAAAATTATTTAGAATCAAATATACTGGCGGTGAAATAATAGTAAAAGTTTCTTTGAAATCAAATAACGGTAAAGATCATAATCAAATAGCTAAAAATGTAACTTTATTAATTGAACTACATAACACTTGTGTTGGGTAAGTTATTAAATTACGTGAACTAAGTGACATATTAATTTTACATTATGTAAAATGTGTAAAATAAACTTAATTTATTACTTATATTTTATTTTTTTATTATTATAGTATTGATAATGAATTAGTAAAGATTTGGCAAGGCAATTTAAAAGATAATACAACACATAACAAACAACAAAGCAATACGATATTTAATCTAACAACAAGTAAACGATTAATAGAAATTAATAATGGTGAAATGGGAGCAGAAAGTCAATTAGGAAAAGGAAGTAAATATTGGTTTACATGGAATATTGAAGAATTACCAATATCAGATCAATTTAATCAATTATCCAAGATATTATTATATGAACCAATTTTAAAACGAATATTATTAATTCATCCATTTGAAAATTCAAGAAATGCAATAATAAATTCTTTTAATGATAGTGTAAAAGTTGATTTATTTGATACATGTGATCAAGGAATTAAAATAGCAAAATCTTATAAAGAAATTTATAATCAAGCACTTTATAATATAGTATTTATTGATATTTATGAAAGTAATATGGATGATGTTATAAATTCTGTACCAAGGCTAAGAGAAATAAATGATGATATATTAATAGTTTTCATGGCATTTTCAACTAGTAATGGAAGATCTTTAGTAAAAACATTAATTAAAACTATTGGAGGACATATTACCACGCTTTTTAAACCCATTACACCAAAAAAATTGATGTCTATTAAATAAATAATTTATAATAATTTAGGAATATTAAATATTTAATAAAATGTAATAAAATAAAAAGTGTATTAATTTGTTTAGTAATAATTTCAAAGATCATATTTGGATGCAATAAATTATAGCACCTTTATCTAGTACGATCAAAAAAGTAATCACTAGTAGTAGTAATAAAAAAAACGAGATTAGAGCTATAATTTTTGATGAATAATATATAAATTTTGTAGCTACATGAATTTATTCAACAACATTTATAATTTGACTAAAAGAAAATCACTACTGTAGTGCATTATGTTGATATTGATCACCTTCATTATTATGTTGCATTGAATATGCAATTTGATTATAATCAAATATCTGGACTTGATTATTGTTTAAGAAATTTTCGGAGCTTAAAGTGCTGGAACAATTATAGTAAAAATGGTGATCATTCTGAAAAGGTATTAAATCCGTTGCGGAGTATTGAAAAGGCATTAAATTCGTTGTGGTGCACTGAAGAGGCATTAAATTAGTCATTGAACACTGAAAAGGCACTAATTCCATTGCAGAACATTGATCATCTTTAGTGAGTGAAATATTATCATTTTGATAAATATTTTCAAAATTAAGACTGTCACATTGACAAAAATAAAAGCCTTGGTCATTCGAATCTTGATCGTTCAAAAGGGAGATTAAATTCATCTTTGGATGTTGATTGGCTTTATTAGATTTATGATGTGATGTACTAAAAATTGACAATAATTTAATATTTTTAATATTTAATATTTTCAACTATAATTTAAATATTCTTTACTTAGTTTTATTATTATAATTACATACCTTTTTTCGCTTATAATGTCAAGTAAAGTTTCTTTAGTAACATTTTCTGTTAAAAATTAGCAAAAGATCATGTTTAGATTTATCTTATAATTTATATTCATTATTGTTATTGAGGTAAATCGAAGCCAATTTTTAGGCTTTTGCCTTGGCAGTAGCAAAAAATAAATTATCAACCACAGTGAAAATATATTATTATCACATCTGAAGATATCTTTTGTTGGATTTTTTTATATAGGCATTAATTTAGTATTTTAATCAACTTCAATTTTCCAGAATTAAAAATAATTTTATACATACTATCTCCATCTTCCGTATTTTCATGGTTATTAAATGATTGACCTTCATTATTCAAAACTTTTTCAGGGATAAGATTATCATATTGATATGGATAAAAAACCTCGTCATTTTTTTCATGATGATCAATTTTACTAATAAACGATTCAACATCTGACATAGGACTAAAAAATATATTAATTTTAAAAATTTTTTTTAATCAAAGCTTCATTTTGTTAATAAATAAATACCTTTCATTCATTATATTAAATAAATTTTCTTTAGTAACGTAATCTATTGAACACAACTAACTTTGATAATTAATAATTAATAATAAAATGATTATTAATAAGGTAAAGATGATTTAATGTGCAAATATATTTTACCTGTAACTGATAAACAATTTAGTTGAGTGTAATGTAGCGTTGATGCTGTCTTTATCAGGGAACTTAATGGCCGGCTTTTAAATACAGCATCTGGATGGACTGCAATTTCTGAGGCTTTAATTCTAGGAAGTTCGGTTGAATACCTCATCTTATCAAGAATAACTGCAATCGTATCTGCGGTCGGTCTTTTTGATGGATCAGTTTCCCAACATTTTATCATCAATTCAATAAATGGTTGTGGTGTGCCATTAATGATCGGTGGGCGAAGACCATTGCAAATATTATAGATTAGGTGTGCATCATGACTATAATCAGAAAATGGTTTTTGACCACTCGTAATTTCCCACATCATCATCCCAAAACTATATATATCTGATGCTGTAGTGAATTTCCTCCCTCTCAATATTTCCGGTGCAATATATGGAATGACACCATATACTTCATTATCTGATGATTCATTTGCTGGACGGCTTATCCCAAAATCGTTAATTGCTATAGTCGGAGAATCAGTTTTTTGATTATAAATAAGTATGTTGCCACTGTGAAGATCCCTATGAATAATTTTCTGTTTGTGAATTTTTCCTAATTGCTCTGCAATACCCAGCAGGATATATAATTTATCGGAAGAACTTAATTGCTGATTTAGCAGAAAATGACGTAAATCTCCATCTCGCATAAAATCAATGACAAGCATAAAATCTCCTGTTCGTGGATCTTGTGTAACGCCGAAAAAATTGGTAACTTTGGTATGTATATATGAATTATTTCTTATAGTATTCTTCACCTTTCCAACGAATTTAATATAAATTTCTAACTAATACCAATCATTAAGTTAGAAGATGTGGCATAAGTAATAGTTATTTCACATTTTGTCATTTTGTTAAAAAAAAACATTATATATCAGTAGATTTTGATATTTAATGATATCAACGACAAATACGTGTAATAACTGATTTACTGTATCCTATCTTGAATAAACACTCAGTTTTACAATGGATGATAAATAACATAGTTCATTTGTAATTAAAAGTTTTGGGGTCACATGAATTATTCAATAAGAATATTAGATCAGGTGTAAAATTTGTGAAAAAAAACGATTGTAAATAATTTTTCGAGTTAATATTAAAGTTAAAAAGATTATTTGTGTATTTTTTTTCTCATTAGAACACGAAATATTGTTTCATCAGTAGGAAATTTTTTGTGTCATAAACCATTTCCCTAGAAAATGATTTTACGTTACATCTATTAAACATGTTGACGGGACTATTTCAAGGAAGCGTTCTCTTTATCAGCGAGTTTAACTGGCAAACTCGGATACAAAAAGCATGTAACATCAGAGTTTGACAGTTAGGTATAATTCATCTCTGCGAAAACGCTTATTTATCCATTTATATTATTATAGTAATTAGATCTGTGAATTCATTTACATTAATGCTCATTCGCAATAGGATATAGTAATTTAACAGTGCGTTATGAACTTTCAAATTCATTTTTAAACTCGAAATTGAAGGTGATTACTTAGTAAATTTGCTATTTAGAACTTTTTTCCATAATTCACAGACTAATAAAAAAGGTTGGTCATACGAGTACCGCACAATTACCTTTAATTACGAGCTTTTCAAAAAAAAATAAAATAAATAGGAATCATTCTTTTGATGAGTTCCTTATAATGTAGTACTTACCTCATTCAAAAAGCTGCGGTCAATATTTCAGAATTATTAAGCCTTTTAAGAACAATTTCACGTTCACTCCGAGTAAAACATTCTTTTTTTGAATTCCATCCAGTAATTGGTCCATCTTTCCATATTGCTTTATATATTTTACTAAATCCACCTTCGGAAAGATATTTGATGTTTGTGAACTGCTCAAATGGAATGTATGTTATTCGATTCTTGACTTTTAAAGTAAGTGATTTCTTAATAAGATTATCAACCAATTTGTTGCCGCTTAGCACTTTAAGTGCTGCAATACAAAATATACAATTTTGTGAGTTCTCATTACTATTCAGTCGACATTTGCCACAAGTTTTGCATTTTTTTTTATAAGTTTTCTTGAGTATCACCGAGCTTGATAAAATTTTCATGATTTAGCTTAAAATATATTGTATAAATTGTTGTGCTAATATTTCAACGAGTCAGAACTAAATTATAAATAATACCATATTTTCTTTCGCCAATGACTTATTTAAATAAAAATCTCGAACAATTGAGTACAACTAAAAGAATTTTCCAGAATACCAAATTTCTGCATAATAATCGGAAAATTTATTATTGTCACACAAAGCAATCATCTAGAATGTTGATTAAGAATTCTTAAATGTGTGCAAAATACCAATTATGGTTAAATTTTTCGGTCTTAACAAATTAATATACCATAAATGATTGCGTGCAGGACCGGTTCTGTATTATTATTATTGTTCGTCATGGAACCCGTTCCTTTTGGATGAGTGTATAGTTGGTGAATTGATTTTACAAACTGATACGGTTACTGCACATGTATTTTTACTGTAATTACTACCATAAAAAAGTAGTAAAAGCTTTTTAAAAAAATTTGAGCAAAGATATCTTGTTAACTACTTAAGAGAATTCAATGAACTTTTTTTGGTTTAATTCTAGAGATTACTAGAATTGAAAAAAGAAAAAGGCACATTGAATTTGCTGAAGTAGTTGTCGAGATATCCTTACTTAAAGTTAGCAAAAACTCAAAATTCCTATAATAAATAAGGCGAGACCAACTTAATTCGGTGGTTTACATTACACTCCTTTTTCAAAAGAGGAGGGGGCAAAATAGAACGTTACATAATGAGGGTGTGACAACTTAGTGTAGTTGGTAAGTTGTCATTCCCAAGCAAGGTTGGCACATTTATCCATTGCTCCATTGAGTAGAATTGTCAACGAAGTCCAATATAATAATTATTAGGGTAGCTGCGCAGCGCGTGACACCGCGCAGGACCAGCATGATCATGTATAATGTGTAAATTTTGACTATTCGAAAATTATTGATAAAGGATTCTAATACTTAATAAACAAATAAAACTTGGAGAAATACAACGTAATTATGGTATAGTAAATGCTATATGTCCGAATTTTATCTTTTAGGTAGTCTGGTGAGAAATTTTGATGTTAACACACATTAATATATATCGTTTGAGAAATCTAGGTACGCTATGATTAGTGATGGGCGATTACTTATTGATTAGATTAGTATTAATAGCAATTACTTATGAAAATCGATAACAAATATTAATTAACCTCATATTTGCGTCAATGATAAGGAATTGATTTAAAA